ACTACGGGGGCATTTTTAAGTCAAAGCAGCTGATTGTAACCATATAAATAAAGTTGTAAAATCAACTTAAAAATTAATTTCTTTTTCCCCAACCTAATATTTTAGTATTCCTCAATAAATTACATCAGTCTGCATTTTAATTATGTTATCTATTTTGGAGTGACTGGAAGCTACGTGAAATAATCATATTCCGATATATGAATGCTTAAAACTCTTTAACTACCACTCTAAAATCTCCAATCTATGTTACTGAAAGTATGTTACACTATACTTGAATTAAACATTATAAGAAATATATCTTGAATCACTGGATACTTGGTGAAAACTGAAGTAATCGCAATTTCAGTTTACTGCAGGTTAATGTAGGACATTTAATTTAAAAAAAAAACCACGCTTATTTCTGCATTCCACTTTATAAAATTAATTTAAAAAGAAAACATCATTGCTTAAGATTTTAAATAAATTCCTATGGAATTGGAAAGCAATTTAATATAAATATCTCTTCATCATTAAAATTTGAAAGATGAGGCTTTATCGCACGATAGATTGTGATTGTTTCAATAGCGCTAATAACACTCAAACGTGTAAAAAAAAAATCCGTTACTTATCTAACATATTCAACTGACATTTGATATACGCTTTCATATTCTTTCATCTGGGTAACTTTATTTAATGGCATTTAATAGATTATCATGTCCTCTCGAGCATAAAAAACAAATCTCCAGAAGCTACAAATTTCATCTGCGAGAGATGTTCCCAGAGCTTGGGAACTGGTAGCATTGCAGAGATTTTATGAAAACGATTCTCTAAGTGGCGTGTGTCTCATCAATGGCCTAGCGATTAAAAGCTGCTGAATATTGGTAGATCGTCTCTGGCCTGATCCAAGGCAAACAGGCTATTTTTATGGTTAATTTTCATGGTTTTTGCCATGTGGAGCTAGAATACAAGCCAATTTCCATTAGAAAGTCCTGCACGAAGGTACCTCTTCCCTTCAGATAGCCTTCATTTGCTTTACCACATTCAAATTAACGCTGTACCACTTTTTGTAACTGCCTCCCCCCCGTAAGCTCTACAATTGTCTAAGATATGTTGTGTCTTGCTTTATTACTGAGAGAAAAGCTAATGCGTTATTTTTGTTTGCTATAATTGTCAAACTATAATTTACATACCATGGCAGATGAGAAGGATATAGCGTTGATTACCAGACATATGCAAAAGTATTCAGGAAGAATCTGAGATGATCAAACTAGCGAATAATGAAGAAGGAATAGGTATGTTGAGCTTACTAAAGTAGGAAAGGCATATCAAGAAAGACAGGTGCACTGTCCAAGGTAAGCAAAGAAATGGTGATCTTTATGAACGACGAGAACATTTGGATAGCATATGCATGGATGAAAAAGAAACATATTCATTTATTCGTAAACTGCCAGCTAGTTTTAATATTTGCACAGCAAAATGTTAAGAAGTCTCTTATGTGTGCAAGATGAGTTCCATGTTCACTGTATAAGGTATTTCTCCCACTTCCCTAGCGTGCCTTCGTGGTGTAACGGTAGCACGCTGGGCCGGTATTCCAGAGATCCGTGGTTCGATTCCCGGCGAAGGCGGTTGCATATTTTTCATCTTGCCTGCTTCCAAAAATATACCTAATGTCTCTACAACTGAATGAAAAATTCTAGGTCTATTACGTCCAGTAACGAAAGGGGATCTGTCAAATATAAACCCGATTCAAAGCAGCAAGCCTGAGTAAGCAAACTCAGCGATTCACTGCATAACAGGTAATTTCGGATATCTGGTTTATCACACAAGTTAATGTCAAATTAATTTTGAAGCCTTGGAATTGCAACATTGGGCTATTGAGAATTCTAACATTTTGAAATTCTGGAAGGGGGGAGAAGACCTGAACTGCTTCAGGAGAAAAGTTTCTTCATCTGGAACAATAGAATAGCCACAAATAGAATGACAGTTTTCTGGAAGGTTTGGAGAAAATCGGTTGAATCTTTCTAAGAGGCCAAACCTCTCTTCTCCTTTCTGAGCTTTTCCAATACAAGAGTTAAACGGAAGAAAGTTATGCACAGATTAGGAAGCTAAAGCTGCAAATTACACTGCCTTACAAATCTACTTTCAGAAAAGTTCTGCAATTTGAATGTGAGCACATCCCTTGAAATAGTTTGTAGAGTGTAAAGGAAACTAACTGTTCTAACCTATTCTATTCAAACACAATTGGAAAGATATTCTATCCAAACCACACTCGACCTTCCTGTGAATCCAATTTCCAACGCCCATCTACATCTACGAAATTTCGGAAAAAACCCTCGTATTATCTGAATATTAAGGAACTATGTATATTGGACTTTAATCCAAAAGCAAATGTTTAATTCTGTCATGACAAGTTATGAAAGAAAATGAAAGGTGATAAAAAGCGCGTTCATATGTGTACAGTATCACAAATTTTCATTTAAAAATGAATTTACACACACACACATACACACACACACACACACACACATATATATAATTTTTCTCTTTCATTTTATTTTAGCAGCTCCGAAGTATTCAGGGGATTTTTGGTCTGACATTAAGCAATTAACACTTAGAATGAAAAATAGACATTGCACTGAGGAACAAAATATAAGTGTTATCCTCAAAGGCTGAGCGCATGTTTTGAATTTATTATCTATTGGTAGTCCTTGAGCTACCAATCCAGACTGACAGATACCAAATTGAAAGATGTTCCTCTTTGGTAGAAATACCTGTATGTTAATTATCGGTAGCTGTTTAATACATATATGTCATTAAGTTCTAGTTAATTTATGTGTCCTTGGCTACTATATTTTAGTGAAGTGTCTAGCAACTATACGCCGGTCTCCTGCAACTATAAAACATAATTCCAAAAAAGGTTTAAAATACCCTATGCTGAAGATGGCCCCTCTCGGACTTACAGGAAAGCCTTCACTTGTACTTAAGATAGAAAATAAGGAACTAAACTAGTTCTAACTAGCTAAACTTTAGCTGAAGCTGTACAAAAATAACTAATCAAGTTGGCCTGTAATTAAACCTTACCGGCGAAAACTAACAGACACGTAAGACTACAGCCGAACGTAGTAAGATAGTCTTGAAGAAACGAAACTACACTTTCAAGAACAAAGTTTGTAGTAAACTCCTTGTTCTTACTCAGGACTCTAGTTATGTTCGCAAAGGCCATAAGAAAAAATAGCAGTCATGATACGGTTTACATCAAAGCAACAGGTCATGAAAATCTCACTTCACCGTAGAAATTTCTTGCTTAGCAGACGGTACAAAATTAAAACTACTGTTATTTTTAAAAGAAAGACAATGCTGAAATATAAATTTATTAAAAGATGCTTTCATTCATGGCAAAAGCGCCCTGTTGCCTTAAAGAATCCAAAAAATGGTATAATTTGGGACATGTTTAGATCCCACCTAACGGATAATACGAAGAAATTATTAAAGAATTATACAGACATGACAGTTTTTCTAGGCGAATTCAGTCTTTAGATGCGAGTATCAATAAACTATTCAAAGAAAATTTAAAACGATAGCGGAATAAGAATTTAGGAGGGGAAAAACATTTATGAAAGGAGGCCAAATGCGTCATGCCAATCTAGAAATAACACGTGAGTGGATAATAAAGACATGACATAAAATTAAATCCGACATAATTCCCATATTCACTTATAATTCACTTATATTCACTCATAACTCACTTATTCATAAATTCATAAGCCACTTGAAAAATGTAGTATATCTAACAATCTAGATGGACTGGAAGATGATTATTTATTTATGGCTCAGAGTAGCGGTGATGGTGGAAACGAAACAGAATTCAATTATATGCCTGAAGATGTGATGGAAAATTCATATGACGGATTTTTTGTGTTATCTGATCATGAAAATTTAACAGTTCATAATTTATGTCATTTTTCTAAATAAACAGCATTTAAGTACATGTAGAAATCTAATTTTTGTACGCCCATCTTTGCTTAACTTTTAAATCTATCATTTTTAGTCTAAAGGGGCTCTGTCCTTGAAGGACTATTGTTTTCGTTTTGAGATTTTGCGTTGAAAACTTTAAAAGGTTGTATCACTTTTAAAATCTTTGCCACCAAATACTATCGCCTTGTATTATATTTGAAGAAATTAAATAATGAAGAATCTACATAAATGTATGTATGTTTCTCGCATTGTGATAAAACAACCGTGCCTAGAGCCATCCAATTTTTAATGACGTAATCCTACAGCGAATATGAGCATCTGAAAGCCCAAATTTGAAATTTGGAATTTGTTTTATTATCGATTTTATATTTTGTAAATCTTTAATGAATTTTTGACTAACAAACTCAACGATTTAAAAGAGAGCAATGGCAACACTTTAGGGGGGGGAACCTTTTTATCTCCAGTGCTCGGAACTATGTATGGCAATTCTGAAGATATGCTCATTTTAAAATTATTTTGCGACATTGCTGTTGAACTGAATTTTTATGGTTTAAGTGCAAAAAACATGATATTTAATAAATAAAGGTAACACTCAAAACGTTAGAAAAACGCCCCTTTGGACGTAATTTAAAATCTGAAACCTTTCAGATATTTTTAAAATTATTTATTATATCTGACGTATAGCGCGTGCCTATAAATTTTGATTTTATTTTTTATATTAAAAGCGTGCGTTATACCCGGAATATATGATAAATGATTTTAACTGAAACATTTATAGTTTCTTTTTTTCTCTCTTTATATTCTGCTTCATCTAGTGGATTAAATATGAAACAGATAAGCCTATTGTAACTGTTTATTTTGAAGTTGTTTCCAGTATTCAAAGGAATTTTCCATACCTGAAACAGATGTCATTGTTTTTTAATCTTATAACTTTTATAATTATAAACTTCTTGAAATGTAAAAGCGAACATTTCAAAGTGTTAACTTTGAAATTAAAATTTTACAGAATTTGTTCCTCCTCATTAAAGCATTTAAAATATTTTCAGACAACAAGTCGTAGAGCGGGAATGACATGTTCCAATTGCTCAACTACAGACACAACGCTCTGGAGGAGGAACACTCAGGGAGAACCAGTCTGCAATGCTTGTGGTCTGTACTACAAATTGCACCAGGTAAAAAAAGTATATTAAATATATTTCCATAATAAAAAAATTATGAAAACTGTATACAAAATAATCCAATAGTAGAAAACATTCTTGAGTGTATTCTGTAAAAGTGATTTCCCTGAGTTAATCTTCGGACCACTGCCAAGAATGCTCTGGTGAAAGATTCTTATCCAATGTTGGACATTCTGATGGCTGAAGATAAGAGCTGAATGTTTTCCTAGCTGTTTAGTGCTGCTTGTTACTACTTACAGTTTAAAGGCTTATCCTATCATCCGTTCTTATCTTTAGCCGTTTAAACTCGGAATATCTATTACTGATTTAGTGTTTACTAGTGTTACATATGCTTTAAATGACAAGTGCTAAATATTCAAATCTACAACTTTGAAACTATCGACGTCATCGGATATTTTAGAATTATACTTCAGAATTTCTTGGTTCTCTTGATGTCAGAAACATCTTTAATAAAGTAATTCCAATTTATTCAAATGCAAATGCGCGGTAGTTTTTACACCACATCCTCTTCGAAAATTCTTTTATTCATTTATTTTTCTATTTGAGATACCCAAGAAAACCTTGAGATAACCAACATACCTTGCTCAACAAAATGCGTAATACACCATCCGATAAGCTTACTAATTCCAATCTATATTTCATCAGTAATATTAGTTGATATTAATGAAATTCGTGTTATTTAAATTTTAAAATATTAGAAATTTCGAAAATGGAAGCTGCAGAATACGAGAGTTTTTATTCTGGCAATTTAAATAATAATGGTAAAACTTCTCGTAATATAGACAACAATTTGAAAAGTCAAACTTATTGAATATAACACATTATGCTCTTCAAAGATTAGAATTAAGCGTGTGCATAGTGATGATACGTTAATAAAGTACTGTCATTAAAAAGTTAAACACAATTTGTTAGAGATGATTCATTTATATTCTTACAGAAAAATAATATGTATATGTTATAGGCAATGTATGAAACATGAGAATATCTGACGTTATACATTTTTCCTAGGCATTGCATGTAATACTTAGACATTCTATAGAGTGACAAATGCTATATAAAAAAAAAATATGAAAAAAGGTCATGATAAAATTGTTATTTAAAACACGTGCTTTTTAGAGAAATAAAATTATTTAGAAAAAATAATAAAAATTCTCCATTAAAAGACTTTTATTGAAAATACGTAGAGGAAAATGAAAGTTTTGCAAAGCAAAATTTATGCCTTTTTTAATTAACAAAACAAAATAAAATATGAACCTACAAGCATCAAGAAAGGAAATAATTTTATTTTGAAATGCACTTAATTTTGTTTCTTTAAAAAAGTAAAGCAAATTCATGAAAAGGTCTTTACTAAAAATGTACATATTAAAAGAGAAGAAAAATTCAATTTTTTTATATTAAAAATAACAAATTACAATTAACCTACATTGCAATATGGTAGACTTGAATGGCATTTTGAATTACACGTCATTATTTTTTTTCCACGAAAGCATTTCATATTTTCGTACAACACGATGCATTTCATACCTGGTCCCTTTGTTATTTGTTATTGTATAGGATACCTAGGATATGTGTGAAATATTAATCTTGTCATACTTAGCGTAAAAATGTTTAGGCATATAGAATGCCCGGTTTCGAACTTTACACGTTTTAAAGATAACAGAACGCTTTGAATGCAATGCCGTTGCCTGAATTATTTTTGCATACATTTTCAAGAGTTAGCTAAATAAAATTTTCTTCTTTTCTAGCCCTGATGTTAACCCAAATGAACTTTTAATCTCAAAACGGGATTTCGCGACGTATCACGGTCTGAATCACTTTTCGAATTGTTGCCATGAAATATTATCACCCTATATTACTTTTAAAGAAATTAAGTAATGAAGAATCTGCATGAAAATATGCATGATTCTCCCAAGAAAGGAACGTCAAGAAAGGATTGTCAAGAAACGACAGTACCTAGGGCCATCAAATTTTGAATAACGTAGCCCTCCACCCGAACATGGGCACCTGGAAGCTCGAATTTTATATCATATATTTTGTAAATTTGTAATGAATTTTCAATTAAAATATCAACGATCTGAAAGCGAGCAGTGACAACATTGTACGGATTAAAATATTTTTTTCTCCAGCGCACGTGTCTGTATAAAGTAAATTTTAAAAGTATGCTTTGGGGATTTAAAGCGTATATAGTGAGTATCAAAAGGGGATTTTGTATTGCTGTACTATAAACGGCGTATCAGTTTTCAAATTGTTGCCATCAAGTATTATCGCCATGCATTATTTCTAAAGAAATTAAACAATGAAGAATCTGCATGCGCGTATGCATTTTCTCGCACTGTCAAAAAACGACGATACCTTAGAGCAACATTAGCATCTGGAAGCCCGGAATTTTGAATTTCGAATTTGTTTCATTATTTATTTAATATTTTGTTAAGCTTTAAAGAATTTTTGATTAAAGCACTCAGAGGTATGATACACTGCTCTAAACAAAACATTCTTACAGAGGCTGTTCGCATATTTTTTAGACGATTTTGGTAAGCGGTAATAAAAAATCGTTTGCTGCAAAAAAGTAATTGCAATTGTACTATGTTTTTAAAAGAGTTTTGTTTTTATACAAAATGGAGAATTTAACAAAGCAGTGGTTCGAAGGCTACATTTACGCTCTTTCCGAAGAGAAATATGCATACTCCGTTATCCAAAACCAAAGTGAGAGTCATGGTTTTGTGATATCTAAAGCGTCGATAGATAATAGCATCAACAAGAAAGGAAAAAGACATCAAATTGGAGCCTCAAGTGGGACACAAATTCCAAACAAGTATCCAAGGAAAAAACGGACATCTTCGACTATTGCAAAGGTACGTTGTTTAATGTTAAAAGAAAATCCACTTAAACGTTGATTTAAATCTTAAGAAAGCGAAAAAACGCTACGTGCATCGTCTTCTTCCAAAGCATATTGCTCAACGCAGGACACGCTGCAGAATTCTATGTGAAAAACACTTATCCAAAGAAAAATGGAAAACAATTGTCACAATAGATGAAGCATGGGTGTATTTAAATGATTGTAACAAAAAAAAAAAAAAAAAAAAAAAAAAAAAAAAAGAGCCATTTATTATCATAAAACGGGAGAAAAAATTTAAGTACATGGTTCAAAGAATCGAAAGAAAGTTTTTCGAAGGGATTCATGATTGTTGCTGGTTTTTCTTATAATGGCAAGTTAAAAATAAAGAGAGTGCAAAAAAATGTCAAGATTAACTCCAAATACTATCACGAACATATTTTTATCGCCAATTATTCTGAATGAAATACCATCGCTTTACCCACAGTGCCATCCATCTGTGAGACTCCATCAGGACAAAGCTAGCAATCACACATCAAAATCCACTGTAAATTTCCTAAAAGAAATGGAACAAAAAAACTGGTATCAAGGCCATACCCTTCACTGATATCCCTACTAAATCTCCCGATGTGTCACCTATGGATTTTTGTGCTTTCGGACTTTTAAAAACTGCATTATCCAAACGTTGTCCCCAAACCCTAACAGGACTCTGGAAAGCTGTTCGGGAGGAATGGGATGGAATATCTCTGCTGCCACTTCAAAAGGCACTATTATTCTGGAAATTGCGGTGTCGAAAGATAGTTCAGAATAAGGGATGTGAAACAGAACATTTAAAACACAAAAATTTTATGTAATTTAGTTTTGTGAATACAATATACATCGTCTAAAAAATGTGTGAACAGCCTCTCTATACCCTATACGTAAGACTGGTTGCCATTCAGAGAAATCTAAGATACTTATCTGTCAGTTTTAATTAACAAACTCCTGTCTTTGAAAGCAATGCATTGCCGCGGCTGGAAATAAAATGCTTTCCCCCCACTCGCCAGCGTGTTCTTATACAGCAAAGCCTGAGATACTTTCATATTTAATCTGTAAAGTTACTGGATAATAACTAAGAGATTTAAAAGCAACAAACACCTTTCTTAAGAATATTTTTTCTACTTTTTAATGTGATTGATTAAAATTAAAGGTATTAAAATCATGAGATGTCTAATCAGAAGTATTAAATATTTTTATGAGGTGCGTTTAAAAATATTGCAAATATGATTCTGTTTAGACCAAAGGTGCAATTTATCAGAAGGGCTATTAATTTCGTTTTGGCATTTTGCGTTGATTCACTATAAACGGTGAATCAGCTTTTAAGTTGTTGCCACCAAATACTATCGTCCTGTATTATATTTAAAGAAATTAAATAATGAAGCATCTGCATAAATGTATGTATGTTTCTCGCATTAGTGATAAAACAACAGCGCCTAGCGCCCTCAAATTTTGAATAACATAATCCTCCTGCGAATATGGGCATGCGGAAGACCAAATTTGAAATTCGGAATTTGTTTTATTATCGAATTCATATTTTGTAAAATATTTATGAGTTTTTTATTACGAAACTCAATTAAAAGTTAGCAATGGCAACACTGTACCAAAAAAAAAAAAAAAAAAAAAAAAAAAAAAAAAAAAAAAAAAAAAAAAAAAATAATATCTCCAGTTCGCGAGACTGTGTATCGGAAATTCTAAAGATTCTAATGCTCTTTTAAATATTTTGTGATATTTCTCTTGAATTGAATTACGGTTTAAGTAAAATTTATGGATATGATGGAACATTAGATTTAATAAATAAAGGTAACACACAAAACGTTAAAAAAAAGGTCCTTTGGGCGTAATATAAAATCTGAAAACTTTCATATTTTTTTAAATTTATAAACACTATGTAATTTTGCTGTTGAATTGAGCTCTCTGCGGAGTAAATGAGGAGAACGTGATATCTAACAATAAGATTAACAGACAAAAAGTAAAAAATAAATAGACTAAAAATTTTGTTGTCCATCTTTACTGAAGAAACTGAACATGGATATGATGGACTGAGAAAAATACATTCTAACACTTAACACATCATTGAGAAAGCTAAACATGTTCTGCTTTTAAAAATATTGTGATTTTGCTAGTGAACTGTATGTGGCATTAGTGCGAAGAAAACAGCTAAAAAGACAAAAAAAAAAAAAAAAAAAAAAAAGTGTTAGCGCGCGGGAGTGAGTGAAAAAGAGACTGGTAGATTGCGAGTTCAGCGAGAGCGAAAAAACCTTAATAAAAGCATTTGGATGACCGCTAAAATCCGAAAGCTTTCCGACATTTTTTTTTAATTTTAAAATTGCTTACTTTAAAAGCTTTAAAGAAAGTATTAGTATTGACTTTTTACTGTTACATTAAGAGAAAGAGCATTTTGCAACTGATGAATACACATTATGGTCACCAGCCCACCAGCGGCCGAGCGGTAAAGACGCTGAACACTGGTAGTTCGGTCTCAGGTTCGAATCCCGCGAACGGGCTGGCTGCATGGACGTTTTCGTGGTTTTCCCCATGTGTAACTTGTATACGAGCCAGTTTCCCTTAGAAAGTCCTCCACGAAGGCCTCCCTCCCTTTAGGCACATAGCCCTCGTGTGCTTTGCCATAATTGAATAACCCATAACCCAACCCATTATGGTCACCAGTATGATGTACAAATATAACGCTTAAAATTACTTCAGATTTCATTTATTTTTCAGGTGAACAGGCCGATAACTATGAGGAAAGATTCTATTCAGACTAGAAAAAGGAAGCCAAAGAGTACTGCATCTGCAACTAAAGGAAAAGCACATTCTACAAATTCAAACACCAATGGTAAGCTTTTTTCATTATCACTGAAGCTAGTGTTTAAATCATTAGATATTTTTTTTTACTGGAAATTACATATATTTTGTAACAGTTAATAAAAAACACTCAGTGCATAAAATCGAGACAAACATACGTAAAACTCTTGTATTTTATTCTTATTATTATTAGAATTATGTTCTTAGTCCTCAAGTGAATATGGAATTTGTAATATTTAAGCAGCAGCGAAATGAGAATTACTAGAATTGAATTCATTGAAGGTAGCCATCAACAGTACTTGCAAGAGCCTTATCTCAGCATCATTGCATTAATCACTTGTGAAATTAAAGGAATCGATTGAATGATGCAGTATAGAATTCAAAAAGATTTTTGCAAACTGGAAAAAACGCGTAGTTTTACCTGTGACCTTAATACATTTGAAATAATATTTATGCTTTTTAAGAGAAGGAAAAAATTTTGCAACAAAGGCAAGCTATGAGAAAAAATAATATTGGAGCTGATAAAAAAAATTCTTAGCAAATGTTGATCGTATTTTTATGATCAATTGTTTCTATAATGACTTAATTCATTAATATCTCGCAATCATTACGCCAAAATTCTGACATTTTTTTTGGTTACTTGAGCTTGTAACTCAACTTCTAAAGTTTATTTTATGGTTATTTTAAGGCATTTTTAATATCAAGGAAACGCTTTTGAAACTTTCAACTGAAGGAACAAAAACGTCGTCACTTTAAGTTAAAGAATCAGAAAGAAATCAAATGCATAAAACGGTTTTTTTTTTTATTTACGTTCAGTTTTGGCAAAAATAGCCATCAGCATGATGTCTTTAGTACTGCTGTAAATTTTTATTAAAGTTCTTCTAGACTAATTTGTCGCATTAAATGTGTTTTATGATTTTTAATCAATCCTTTTTGTATGGTAATTATATTGTATTATATAACTTGTATATAGTATTTTGAATGCCATTATAAACACTATACCCTTGAATGTATTTACTCCAGAATATCAGTGACATGTTAATCCAAATATGTATTTATTGTATTTTATGTTGGAGTTCACATGAACAGCGTTGTTATAATCGGTCTGTACGTAATATTGTAACCTGTACTTTGTATGGTACTTGTATTGAATCATTTAGCTCGTAGTTCACACATGTCATGCAGGTCGTATAAATTGTCCAACATATATCTGTACCTCTTGTATAACATCATTATTGCGAATGCCATCTGGTCGCATAACAATCTGTATATGTTATATTGTTTATATCTACCCCCCCCCGAGATGTAATTACTCCTGCTATGTACATCGTCTGATGCTACAATAGTAACACTATATAAATATGTACACGTTGTATTAATTTTTCAACTGTAACATTGCAATCTCTTCTCATATAGTAGTTGCGCCATATAGTAACTTGCAAGTTATTTGTTAGCAGTTGACTGTATTGCATGTCTTATACGTATGACTGTACATTCCATTACTGCGCTTTACTCTATGTATTTCATCCGCATTTTCTATATTGAACTATTTTTATTTTATATGTCATATAATATGTGCACACATTTTTAGTATGCGTATATATATGTACATCTGGTATAGCATCACTTGTGAAGGTAGTGTGGACGCACAACAATCTGTAAATATTACATATGTTATATAGTTTATATCTTTTTCTTGTAGATATAAAGTTTATATCCTTTTCTTGTAGATATAAAGTTTATATCCTTTTCTTGTAGATATAAAGTTTATATCCTTTTCTTGTAGATATAAAGTTTATATCCTTTTCTTGTAGATATAAAGTTTATATCCTTTTCTTGTAGATGTAATTACTCCTTCTATGTACATCGTACCATGCTTCATTTGTAATGCTAGTTACATATGTTAACGCTGTTCTCTAAATAATGGTGGGCATGGTGCTGTACTGATTAACCACTATCGTAAAGGGACAGTGCCCACGTCCCCCGTTACTTATCACTTTTAATTAATCCTCATTTTCGTTATCGTGACAGCCAAGGCTTGCACGTTGCTTTTTTCATCAGATAGTAATTTCATTAAATTCTAAGGTAAAACATCGTCTGAGAGACTAAACAAAATTAAAACATTTTCAAAGTTCTTACTGATTTGTTCTTTCGCTACGCGTCGCTGATTCTTCTTTTCGAACTTTTACTGTTGATAAATGCAAATTATTTAAAAATTTTCTTTACATCTGCTGTTTTTTAATCATTAAGTTGGTATATTCTGATATTTTGCATCTTGCTTTAACTACTAGAAATCTGAATTCGCCACTAACCTTTCTTACTGATATCTATGAATTTTTGTTAAATTGGCAGAGCTATGCCAGATAAATTTATTTCAAGTTTATTGTGTAGATCTTACAAATTACTCCAAATTTTTGTGTTAGTGATTGATGATGTAAATTAACAGACTATTATTTAATTTTCTAAGTGAAACTAAAATAAATACTGTTTCATCCAAAACTTGGATTTGTCAGCCATTATAATGCATTACTTATAATTCACGAAATTTTCAATGTGGCTGTAAATCCTTTATGCTTGCGAAAAGAATTAAAGTTATTAAAAATGTATTTTAGGTGGATTTCAAAATAATTAAACTAAAAGACGTTATATTTCACCCAAACTTAACTAATAATAGATTTGACAGAGCGACTACTACTAATGAACTACTTAAAATTATAATTGATGAATTATAATTAATTCAAGAAGCTTTCAAAGAATTCCTTATTTTACTCGAAAGAGTAAAAAGTATAGTTTAGGTAAATGTATTAAATTTATTATTATTTAGGTAAATGCATTTACAAAAGTACAATTTAGGTAAATGTATTTTAAACGGTAATTTGAAGATAATATTGATGCAATTATTTTTGTGCGAGAAATAAATGAAGGAGAAAAACTTTAGAACTAAATTTAATGATATAAATATAGCAAGTAATATTTCTCCATATTTTACAAGCGTACAGTACAACAGTCAAAATTTGAAAAAATACATTAGTTTTTCTTCTTGTTTCAAGATTCTCACTGTGTTAGAAATATAAAAATATGGGAGAAAATTGAAAATTATGAAGTATGATTTTATTTACCAATGTTTCAGCACTATGATTCAGTTCATACAAATCGAAACTCCTAAATCTAAAAATTCAGTGTCCAAAATGGATAATTTATTTTATTTTTGTTCCTAAGAAAAGATGAGGCTACTAACTTCTGAACCATAAACTGAATTATAAATACAAAGCTGAAAACAAACCATACCTTCTAAGTTGTTCTAGTTCATGTACTAAAATGTTGTTGAATAAAGTAATAGTGTCAACAGAATTCTGTTTTCATTTTCTAAGTAAAATTACGTATAAAAATGGGGTAAAAAATCGAGAAATTTTATAACTCTTTTTTGTTAATTAAAGAAAATGAACTAGATAATGTATTTGCATGTTCTCTTTCCTAATACTTTTTATTCTTTTAAAAACAATAAAATCAATTTTGAAAGTTAGAAAATGTTTCAGTATAAGAAACGAATATCGATATTTGCAAAGGTATAAAAGGAAATAGAAAAACAATTTAAAAACATAATTTGTAAGAGATTTTATTTAAATTAGCTTTGTTATTTACTTTCTTAGAAGCAGAATAGTAGTCAGAGTAGTTATTAATCCTATTAAATGGCAGTGAACTGAAAAAAAGTGTTATTTTAGGGAAAGCAGTAGATGTTATGAAGCATAACTTTTAGAAAATAAAATTTTAATTAAATTAAATATAAGTTCACTCTACAAAACTCTTTATCAAATTACTGTTGAAACTTCTTCTTGCTTTTGATCTTCTTCGTATAAAGAAGCATTTATAAAAGTTCTAAATTTTAGTAATTTCAAAAAATATAACTTATATAGAAGTTTCTGATACTTTCATTATACTATAACTAATTCAAATACAATGAATATACTTACAAAATCTGTAAAATTATTTTAATTAAATATTTTTACCTTTTGTAACTCAGAATTTTTTATGAAATTAAGTAATATCATTAAAAACCATTTCTGTTATTAAAAAATCTTTGGTAAAGCTAAACTTGTTTAGAGAGAGAACTAGAAAATGTAAGAAACTAGATATATTAACTTTATTTAATTTTAAGAGATTAAATGCCCAAAGGAAGAAATAAATAAATAAGAAATTATAATTAGTTATCAGTAAAAATAAAATATTATAGGCTTTAACAAGAAGTTAATTTTTCATATTATTTTCATTTACGTTATCTAAAATAGAAATACTGATATTTTTATATTAGACCAATTCAGTGAAACTGTTAGAGACGTTTTCCGATTAATTAGAGTAATACAACAGCAGTAGGGGGTAGAACCACAGGAAAGATAAATAACTCACATAATATTTGATAAAAATGCCATTAATAATTTAACGTATTTTCTGAAGATTTGATTTGGAGTATAATTTCATTTGTTAATGCAAATTAGATCATCATTCAGAAGTGGAAGAACAAAATTCAAAACAATAAGAACAATGTTTTTGTTCATATTATTTTTGTATTTAGACAGGAGTAAAAAGAAAACACAATATTAACTGTTGCACAATTTATTTTTAACGGATGATGTATTTCAGATTACGTACAATTAAATTATGCACTGTTGTGGATAAAAAAAAAGTTCTTATACAATGTGGCATCATCTGATATTCTTAAGCTACAAATTTTATTCTTTTGTATAAATTTTGATCGTTCAGCAATAAATAAAATTATACTTTTTTAGATAAAGCCGCTTATTCCACTTCTGGTTAAATAGAAATTTACTATTTGCTTTGCTTAATTAAGTTTCTATATCAATCGTCAGGAGAGTTTTATTTAGATTTTAACTCTTCAATTTGATTAAAAATTTTTCCAGACAAAATTTAAAAGACTTTTTTTAAGGAATGCAATGGTACATTTTGAAGTATGATTTATCGCTTTGTCTTGATGAAATTTCTCTCTTTGAATGTCACTCGGATAAAGAAATGCAATTTCTTTTATAAATATCAGACATGAAACTTCCTCTTGCTAGTAGGTAAGAGTTGATTTTAACATTTTTTTCCCTGCTTTTCTTAGTTTTCTTCCTCACTGTTGGAGAATCATTTCACAGTCATAAACTCCTTACTGAAACTGTCTTTACACTGACGGAACCAAGTCTGCACAAATTTATCTTTCGTTTTCGATAAATTAATAGATTTTTTTTTCGTTACAGTCATTTAGGTAAATCCATGTTTCATCAAGGGTCACAATGTATTTCCATTTATGTCCCACAAAGTAATTTTCATAAGGACTGTATTTTTTGCTTTGAACCATATGCCTGCAAAAGCTGGTGAACATTTTGGTTTTTAGCTTTTTTAAGTTTAGATCCTAGTTTATAGTTTTAGTTATTGTTGCTACAGATACATTAAAAGACTTGATTTTCTGAGACACCTGATTTTCTAAGTCGGCGGGTTTTCCCTTGTTACGAAAGATTTAACTTTAGAAACATAACAAAAGATATGTATCTTTTTCGGATACCTAGTTCAAGTCTTCTTTCCCTGCAGAAGTAATGGTTGGCGGTTTTTCCCTTTCCGATTAATAATGTTGTTTATTTTTCACTTGGAATTTCCAACAGCATAAATTTCACAGCGTTTTTGAATTATGGAATAGGACTGTTTCTCTTTGTAAAATTAAAAGCATATCCTTCAGTCCAAAGCTTGTTCACATGCGACAATTCGAAAAAAGAATGCATTTAAAACTAGTAGATGATATTTCTGATTTCGAATAATAAGCTGTGACAAAAAGTTTCATTCCAAAAGTTTTTTTAATTCTTTAACGAGTTTTTTCTAAATATGTGTAAACACCCTTTGTATAGCAAAGCTGTATAAAGAATCATATTTGTAATCTGTTATTGAAAACTATTACAATGAGTAAGTAAGTAAAGTAAGGAAAATATTGTATATCTTTCTCAGGTATTTGTTTAAAAATTAAGAACAAGACTAAAACTGAACATATTTTTTTCAGAATTTTTAATTTTAGTTCTAAAACTAGAAGATATGAATTCACAAATGTTTTCTTTTAGATGGACTTGGCCGCTTTGTCTCAAAATAGCTTTCTGATCTGTACTTATTAGGTGAAACTTTCAGAAATATCTTTGATTTAACCTATCACAGCATGCAGTATGTTTCAAGTATAGCACAAGTTTATTATACAGGCACTTGATAAAATGCAATTTGGAAGAACTTTGAGGGTTTTTTCTAAACTTTTGGGACTTGCATTTCAATATTTTCAATCAAAAGTATGACAAAAAGCTGTCTTAAACGTAGGTGTACGGATAGCTTCATGTAACAGTTCAATAATTTGTCTCTTTGTGTTCCATGAAAGAAATATGAGCAGAATGTAGGCTTACGATATCGGAATTAGGGTCTCGAACGAAAATATTTTTAAGGTACCTTATGTTAATTAATAAGTTATTATAATTTTGGTATTTGTTCTAAGTTCTCTTTCAATATTCCTCACTAGAATGCAAATTAAATTTTTGTATGTAAGCTGAAGGTTTTGGATTGTTAGATGAGAGTTTATAGCAACGACGTCTTGCTGTTAGTATTGGCGCCAGCTCTGCCTTAAAAGTTATTTTACTTTAGCGAATTTGCCAACCTTAGCGCTTTGCTAGTCGAGGTTTTAAAATAAGCGCCGGTAAAAGTATCTGAGCCAACATGTTTTTAGTCTTAGACTTCTTATGTAGTCTTAGACTACATTATCAACATTTAAATTTAATTGTGTGTTATGTTAATTTAAAATTCAATAGTAATGGAAATTTCATTTGTAGCCCAAGTAATGCCTGCTCACATCTAACTAATCTCTATAAAACAATATTTTACGTAAAAATTTCCATCTCTAAAAATATCCTACCCGGGGCGAGCCGCCGTTCTATTACGGCACTGTATGCTGATATATAAAACTTCCAATTAAAGCTGGTTAAATACTAGCAACAAGACACGAGTATCTAAAGCTCATATCCGAAGATTCAAAATGCTCAGCTTAAATGCTTAAAACAAAACTAATTTGCATTCTGGTAAGAAACGCAGAAAGAAGAAGTTATATTAAACACTTAAATTATACTAACTGGTTAATTAACATAAGAATTTCACATAGCTTAAAATTTAATATATTGTAATCTTGTGCTTGTACATACATATTTAATACTAGATTGTTTAAACATATTTAATACTAGATGTAGAGGAACTAGGTTTTAATATTTCTTTATTAATTAGACATGATCATGATAGACTTTTGAATAAATAAGGCAGCCATTTTATTTTGGCTTTACGAGCATTTTATATGGAGTATTTGTCAAGTCTGCAGAACCTTTTTAACATGGCCCAATCGAAAGTCTTCAATAACTATAGTTATAATATTCTAAGGTAATAATAAGATATTGACAAGTATAAGAATGGGGGAACATCTGTAATCTACCAAAAAAGGAAGAAACTATAATTTTTTCTTCTGATCTCTAGAATTCACAGTGCCATGCATGACCAGTATGTTCGGAATTTTAGAATGACATATTACTCTAAAATTTCTATAAGACTTATGGGAAAAATTTCATTTGCATGAATTACATTAATAGGATGTTGAGTAATTGGGCACACATCTAGGATATTTATTAAAAATTATAGAGACATTAGGTACTTTTGGAAGCAGGCAAGATGAAAAATTAGCAAATGCCTTCGCCGGGAATCGAACCACGGACGTCTGGAATACTGGCCCAGCGTGCAGAACCACTACACCACGAAAGACATGCTAGGAAAGCGGGAGAAATACCTTTATATACTCCCCCTTTTAAAAGGCGACTGGGGTTTTCAGGGAACCCAATCGCCAAATCCTGGGTGTGGAGAATCCTCATCCAACACCCTTTTAGTTCGGGCGCCACTGTAGAGGTATTTTTGGGAAGCAGAAGAGATGAAAAATTAGCAACCACCTTCACCGGGAATCGAACCTATATACTTTTCCTTTTAAAGGGCAACTGGGTTTTTAGGGGACCCAATCGGAGAATCATCATCTAACACCCTTTTTTTTTAGTTCGGGCGGCAGTGTAGGAACATTAGGTATTTTTTGGAAGCAAGAGAGATGAAAAATTAGCAATGCCTTCGCCAGGAACCGAACCACGGACCTCTGGAATACCGGCCCAGCGTGCAGAATCACTACACCACGAAGGCACGCTAGGAAAGCAGGAGAAATACCTTATAAAGTGTATTGTAGGATATTTTTTAGTTCGCATGGATCACTTTGAACTAACTGCATTGAATATTTTGTAACCTAGCAATAAAACCGGCATATAATATCTTTCCATTAGCCTCTAGATTTTTTTCTTCTTATTTTAACAGGTTCTTCTAGCAAATCTCCCAGCGCTACATCTACAAGCGTCTCATCTGCAGCATCTTATCTACCGCAGGGGGGTATGGATGGGGACCTCAGCGATGCTCAGCATCACCGACTTGTCCAATCGCCCTTATTACCTTCATCGACTGCCTTATCTCAGCAGCTGCCACATTTCCCTCCTCTGGATCCCCCTCATGGAAGCGAGATCATCTTGGAGAATGGAATTGTGCTGGAACATCCATCCGTTATCAGCGTGGCCCCCAACAAACAGCTATGATAACCGAGGGTCACTTTGTGACTGCTTCGTCAATTCCGTGTATCACTACTTTACTCAGCGTAAATGTCCCGAGGCTCTTCGGATGGAAATTGGTATAAGTGTGGAAAGCATCTGACAATCAAAAATTACGAAAGTGGTTAGCAGAAAGTAAAATCTTGGCAGATGCTTTTCCTGAAGCAAGCTCTGGGTAGTCCTAGTGTGTTAGGAGGTATTTAATGTTGAAGGAAATCATGGCTTGAAATTTTATCAAATTTTTCTTTTTTATTTTAAAGTCTCTGTTTTAATTATTATACCTTCGAAAAGTGTTTGTCATAAAGCTCTACAGAAGGGTTCTATTTGCGTCATAACAGGGAAAATTTTTCCATTTTAATACAGTATAATGGAATTTTACAGAGGCGAACATCAGTCTACAAAATTGCATTATTTGCATTATAATTTTTGAATAAATCACATGAATTAGGCTGGCAAAAATGTGCCTATGATTTGCAGTGTTTTACTTTCCAATGAAATATTTTTTTTAAAATCTATAAATCTGCTTAAAAGAGATTATATATTTGTTTTAGTAAAAAGCGAATCATCAATTTACAAATGGAAACTTTTAATTACGTTTTAATCTAGATTTTAATCGTGCTAGCAATTATGCACTATATTCACAGATTTGTGAACTGATTCAAAATTTATTACTGTGTTAGTTAAAATTAATCAATATAAAAATGTATTTTTAAGTCAAAATATACAAGACATGTTTAGATAATAATTTTAAAACACAGATGCAGAATCAAAGGAAAAAGGAATATTGGGAGCTTGAGTGATCACAGTGAAAGTGATCTGAAAAGTGATCTTATTGAATTTATTGATAATATTATTGCGCTTCTAAATTAATAAAAAAACGTTATAATTAAGCCAAATATTAGAATAAACAATGCGATGTACAAGAATGTATGTTTTTTTAGATTTATTATTGTTTATACAGAAGAAGAAAAATCCATCCTTTCCACATTGCCGTTTAAAGGAACATATTCCCTGAAATATTGCTCACTGAAATGAAGTTTACAAAGAATGCTAAAATAATATTCTTTGATTTGCTAAAAAGGAGTTCATGAAAATTAAAACTCAATGCATTTGAAATGGCTAGCAAAATTCAAAGTGAGTATGAAAGACATGTGTTTGGAAGAACGTAAACCCACGTGTCATTTAGTCCATTTCTGAAGTTACTGAAAATAAAGAAGAAATTTTGAACTGCTCGTTAAATTTGATTCGTTTAAGTGAAAAACATTCCAGTATTTTTATGCTCTCTAAAGAGGAAGAAGGACATTGTATTATCTGAAATATTTTTGGCCATGTAAATTTTTAAGAGTGTATTGTTTATAACATCGATATTTTTATGTAAATATGTTTCTACTGTAATCTTGATAAATGATTATATTTTAAATAAATAATATGTTTTAAAATTAAGTGTAACCTAATTTTTGGCAATAGTTAATTACTATAATTTGTTTATACATTAAAATATTCTTAAATTGTTATTATTTATGCAGATGTTTAATTTAATTTCTCATTGATTTAATGACATGAAATTTAATAGAGGTCAATATTTAAAATTAAAAACTGAGAAAATACAGGACACAGATTTACATATTTCAAAGTCAATAGAAGCAATATGTATACATTGTCGAATTTAAAATTTTAGATCCAGGTGGAGATATCAGAATAAAATAAATATTTATTAAAGATGATTGAATTTCATGCATGAAGATTTACGTATACATCTAATGGTCATTTTAGTAGCATAATTTTATTAAAAAATTTGAATGGGATATGAACTACATTAATTTCACAATTTAGAAATAAATAAATTCATATAGGGAAAAAATTCTCAAACGAACCAGGGTCTTTCTCTTTCGCTCTGAAAGCCAAAACAAGGACATAATCTCCAATGAAAAAAAATTACCTAATTTTATAATCTATCTTTAAAAAGGTGTCACAGCTAGCCACTACTCAATTCAAAAAATCAAAAACTATGAGGATATTTAATCATATTATTTCCGTGCGAGCATGCCTTTTTAGTAATTTTTATGCAAATAAGAATATTATTGCTTAGTTTAACTCCTCGAAAAAGTTTTCAATGTTTATAACTCAATTTCTCAAAGCAGAATGTTATTTTAAATTGCAAGATTTCAGAACTGCGACTACTTAGAATTTGGTTTGTAGTGAAACCACCAGATATTTTAAAATCAAATTACTAGCCTTATTTTTAGCCAAAAACCACTATTCATCTGGAAACATGATTTTCTCTTAAACGCACTGTTGTTTCACTTAAATGCACTGTTGCACTTTTCATTCGAGTCTGCTGCCGTATGGAGAAATTAAGGTATTATTTTTTCACATTTAATCTGTCTGTTATTAATTAACAGACTAAACTATTTGAAAGTAATAGATGCAGTTCTTAACAATATAATTTTTTACTTTGTAATTTGATTCATTTAAAAAAATGCATTTAATTCATGATATATCTAATTAAAAACATTGAATATTTTTATAGAATTACATATTTTGTCACTTTTTAAATATACAGAAGATATATGAATGTTTCCATGTTAGTCTAAATTTTCAGGATATATATATATATTAACGTTTTCATGTTAGTGTAAATTTACAAGTAACATTTTACAGGATATTTATCTAATATTCTGTAAAATGTTTCGCTATTTCATCTGGATGATGTCTAATGATAATCTCTACTGATAAACCATAGTAAGCATTAAGTAACATAAAACAGCCCCTTAGGACATTCGTTAAAATCGAACCCTATCAGGTTTCTTTCATGTAGAATTTTCTATATATTTAGCTCTTGAAAGATACTTTACAAGCATAATTTTTTTTATAATTCTCAGAACGTTACAAAAAATAATATATTTAATTTGACTTTAAAAGAACTATTTTTTAAAATGTAAAACTTAAGACATTAGTTCTAAATGTTTTGTGCCAAAATGAACTAAATGAATCGTGCTAGATCACAACCGAGAGTTCCAGTTTTACTGTTTAAAATTTAAGTTCATTAAAATGTCCGGTCTAAGAGCGGAGTACGAAAACAAATACTCCAATTAATTTAATTATTGAAGCGTGGATAGTTTATTTACATCAGGCATATGAAACAAATAATTAAACAAAGACTGACATTTTATGTATTTTTAGAGCTTTTTATAATTCTTTCCTGTTTGCATGGTTCAAAAAAGATTGCGTATAATTTAAGAGTTTTACAAAGAATGTCACTCTGTAGTTCAGTTGCACGTATTTCCCTTCGATTTGGCGCTATTGAAATTTTTTTGATCTTTGTTCTGAAATTTCAAAGTGCGATTTAATCTGGACCCTGACAATTTTCTGCTCCGAAACGTTTATCGACAGTGAATTGAACTGCTAACAACTCCGAAGTAACACAAGATCAGAGGTAATGAGACCATGGTGGCATTGCTTCTGGTCGTTTGCACTGTTGCAATATTTCCAACGTTAGGATATATTATTTGAATATGGCGCAGAACACGGGGACAAAGGAAAGAGTTTGGTTTGGTTTGTTGTTTATGACAAAGCGCGCAAGGATTACCTACCTAGCCTAAGAAAAGGGTTACTTTCTGAATCCCCACCTGAGAGGAACTGGTTAGCACTATATTACACACGGGAAAAGCCAGAAAATCACCCATGCAGCCTGCCTTTTCGCTTGGGTATGAACCCAAGTTGAACTTCCAGTATGCAGCAACTTTAATCTCTCGGCCCCTGCTGGGGCATAATAGAAAAAAGTGTAAATCAGTTTAGACTTTATGGCAATACGAATAGTTATAAAAACCTAGAAGTATACAGACATATATATGAGCTGTAGATAAGTAAAAACTTGCGTGTTAAATTACAGTTTGAAGGATTAAATTGCAAATAACCCTCTACCTCTTTCTTTCTTTTCTTTTTTCCTTCTTTTTCCTTTTTTTTTTTTTTTTTTTCTTTTGTGTATGTCGTGAAGTTTGACAATTATATTTCTTCTGATTTCTTCAGAGTCCGAATTAATAAATAATCCTAACAGTAATAAAAATTATGAGTAAATTTAGTTTTATTTGTATTCGGTTTTATTTGAATTTCTTTCTTTGTTTGGGTCAAATTTTAGAAATAATATTTGACTCTTTTTTTCTTATCCAGTTTCTTGAAATTCCTCCCATACGGGTTTATAATCACAATAAAGTTTTCCACAAGAATGTTTCGAAGTTCATTATGGATATTTTCAGTCTGTTGATGAATTTTCTCACAAGTTCCTCTTTGACAATCAAACTAATCCTCCTTACACTGTCGGAAAGATCGAAAAGTAGTCTTCTAAATTCTAAATTTTAAATTTCTAAAGGAAACTGGGGAATTGTTATGACTTTTCAAAAAGCTTTTAATCTTCCCGATCTTTCAGGAACAAAATGGTATTTTACAATATTTTGTATCTGAAGCAGCTAAAGTAGCGTTTTAGTCAAACAGTTAAAGAAATAAATTCAAATTTTACGAATTAGAACTACAACAATTCCCTCCCTTGGGGAGAATTTTATAGTCTTAGGCGGGAATGCGGTAATCTTTTTATTTACTCGTTAAGTATTTAACTTTAGTTTATGAATATAAACAGCTAATCTTGTTCAAGTTGTGATATTTATCAACATTTCCTACACTTTTTGTTGTTTAATTTATGAAACACGTTAAAAAATCATCTAAATCCGAATAAATATACACATTTTTTTTAAGTTTTGGAAAGAGGGGGTGCATGGGTTAAAAACGTTGAGAACCCCTGGTGTAGCGTAAAAACTACTTCCCTTTTTAATTTCGTATGACAATTTAGAATCTAATAATTCTTTCCCTGCCTTGACGATCCACTGAATAGCACTTGTAAAATAATGTTTCATACGAAAAATGCTACCCCTAAAATTGTGCTGCCCGGTGAGAACCGCTTCACTAGTTACACCACTGTATATTGGTAAATACACTGAGTTCAAAGACATCACCGCTTCCCATGGTTTTTGCAATATTGCCAGAATAGAAATCAACATAGCTTCCCTTCCTCCAAAAAAGGAGGAGATGTAATTAATTTTGCTTGGAAAAGAAAAAAGGAAATCTTGGTGAATTTTATTATTATTTTAATTAAATATTACTTCGTGCAGAATATCGTATTTAGGTCACTTCAATGTTCCAAAAAATTTATTTTTTTATGGTCTCGTTTATTAATTACGATGCTGTACGAGTACTATATTATCCGTGTTTTTTGGTTATCGTGTACACTCAATAATTATAGTGAATAGTTAAAATTTAGTGCACTAAGAATTGAAAGAATTTGAATAATATTTTTAAAGTATGACACTGGCTAATGGAAATTAGTTCCTACTTTAGTCGCCAGATGGCGGTAATTATGACTGTTTGTGTAATAAACATCTTTGTTAAGTTTCACAATGCAAGTTCAGATGCTTTCGTAACATTCGTATTTCACAATATCAAAATTTTTATACGAGTATCTGAAGATAGCATTCTTCCTTATCTTCTTCGATATAGCCACGCTTTGAGATCTTAAATTTCTGTTCTATTTTTTTTTTTTTTTTTTTTTTTTGAAATTTGTAATAATGTTCCGCTATTTTGCAACAAAAAATGTATTTGAACTTAGTTTATTAAAAGCACAGATGAGACGTACTGGAAAGGAAAGAACTGAAACGTTATATGTGTAATGCAATGACAGCGAACTCTGCTAGGAATACAGTGTATTTAGATGGGATTTCGAACGTTCGTACTATGTTACGAGCTTAAATCGAGTCAGTAACCTAAAATTATGAATTATAAGAAAGATAAAAATCGATCGAATCGATTATGTAAAAGTTTAACGTTGTCACATCAGAAATGGAAAAATATAAATGATATATTAAATATATTATTTATATTTTTAATAATGATATATTTTTAAATAAAAAATATTTTGAAACCTGCATAAGTATTGAATGTTATTCAGAATTTTTGAAAATACTCCATTTCTTTACTACCTGTCCTCATGCTATAAACATGAACAGATTTTTCTCCAGTCCTCATTATTTATATGAGAGAAATAAACTTTGAATAAGCCACTACCTTGTACTTAAAAAATAGAATTTTAAAAGTCATTTAAAGAGAAATAAAACACTGCTAACTAAAATTCGTCCCACGAATAGTGACGTAGCAAAAGCTTTTGCCGCCCGGGCTGGTCCTGATTTGCTGCCTTGGACGGTTTCTGCATTTGCCATCCCTATAGATATATAAATAAATAACTAAAAATGTCAAAATGACATATGGGGAAATATATTTAAACCCTATGCTTATTTTTAAAGGAAAATTTTAATTCCAACGTTTTAAAATCGTATTATTATTAGCCCAAAGGAGCGGGAGCCTAGAAGGGAAATTAGTCTCAAAGCAGCGTTTTACAG